AAATTCTCCATCGGGACTTCGACTCTTCCTTCTGCTTCCCAGTTATTATTACGAAGTATTTTTCATTATTAAACTGGCTTAAAACATTTTCATAGCGTTCTTTATTCGGATGTGGGGGTACGCGATAGACTTACCTCCACGTGGTGCACTCTGGGCAACAAATACTCATACGGCAAAAAAGTCTATTAACCGGCAGTTGACTTCTGACTTCAAACTACCATCATCCCACTGTATGTCATATTCAACCACTTCCACAATATCCATCTTACCTTTTCTCTGCCTTTATGTCTGTCTGCCTCTTTTACATCTGTGAATCACTCTTCCTTTAAACCTCTCGAATTTTTCTCACTCTGATGTTCCTTCCCCTCTGTGAAGCCCGAAGTCAGCTAAAGGGTTAATGATAATTATCAAAACGCCTGCCATTTGATATAAATAATAAATATTTGGATATCTGTAATTTGTAATTAATATTTCTATTATTGGCTATTCTCTACATTCTAAAAAAGCATTCACAAGATATGTTACCATTGCATCGGAAGCTACCCGCCTTTTTTCATTCTACATCTTAGTGTATGGTGTTTGTGTATTTTTCGTATGCCTCAAAAAGGCCTATTTCGATGCATATTTAGTTCAAAAAACAAATCCTTTGGGATATGGTAGTGCAAAAGGTATTTCTATTACACCTGTATGTCCCCATTCAATATATCAGCAGATTTATGTCCAATCAACTACAAATTATCAATGGGCAGCGAACAAAACAAAATTTCCCACTAAAATATCGGGACGAGATAAAATTTCAAATAGAAAATATGTGTTTATACAAACTACAATACAGTTTTGGGCTAAATAGTAACAATTGGAAACAAAAAGCTTCGCTATTTTCGCGCCTATATGCCATTGTAAGATGACGAATGACTAGATTTGCGAGTCAAATGCAAGCACGATAACGTGTGCAAGTTTTTTCGTTAAGAACTCAAAGGAATCTCGAATAACTTTGCATGTTATGTGAGTAATTAAATGAGGTATGAGTTGATATTTCTCAGGCTTATTAAAATGAAATATGCATTAAGCGAAAATAAAAATTTATTCACATATTAAAATAAGCAGCTAATAAGGCTATACAAATATGGCTTTGAATGCTGAAAACTATTACCATCAAAATATATTGAAAAATTAACTGGAAGAAAAGAAATGAAGATTACAACTTGAGTATAGAAAGTCATATTAATTGGACAATCGAGGATTAAGAAAGTAGTGGAGAATGTAATAATTAAAAGAATCCAAAGTAAACCCATTTTGATTAAAAAAAAATTGTTCAGAGCCAAGCAACGGATAAAAGAAGGTTAATGAGGAATTTCCCAAATACATATGTTTAATACATGTTATTATCATCATGAAAATAACAGAGAAAGTTAAATATTAGTCAAAGAATTTCAAAATATATATATTTATAACAAATGGCAGGCATTTTGATAGTTTCATTAGCCCTTTAGGTGACTTCAGGCCTCACAGAAAAGAAGAAATATCAAATTTCGAGAGGGGGGGAACAGAAGAATGTTTAAAAGATGTAAAAGAGAGACACAAAGGTAGAAAAAGGTAGGAAGAGTACTGTGGAAGTAGTCGAATATGACATATAGTAGGGTGTTCTGGTAGTTTGAAGTGAGAAGTCAACTGCCGATTTACGGACTTTTTTGCCGTATGAGTATATGTTGCCCAGGGTGCACCACGTGGAGGTAAGTCTATCGCACACCCCATTTCAAAATATTGTGACCAAAATCCTATCACTCATATGGACTGCCATTTAGAATAATGCGATAGAAAAAAGATATCTACGGAAGAATTAAATTCCAAAATTTGCATAAAACCATAATAAAACATTTTTGATACGCATTTTAAATCAATGAGTTGATATGTAGATGCCAGATGTGTAGTTGGTTTAATAATAAGCATCAAATTAATAAAACATGAAAAATGTTCAACATTGGAAATTAAACTCTTATTGTTCATATAGTGGCAATTGGATTAGGTCCATTGTAGACTTTTTCTTTGAAAAAATAGAATCAAAAAGTTAACTTTTAATTATTCAAGTAAGTTTACACATTTACTAAAACATGCTAAATTATTGAGTTGTCCCTTTAAACAGTTTTGAAGTCAATTAAATGTTATTATTGTGTTCAGTTATTTTGGACTTAATTTGTCCATTACAAAGTGTACTGTGATCCAATCTTTTACATCTACATCATTAGAGATAGTTGTGAAGTACAAATGAGTGAGATAAGGGTAATTTTGAAAGATTTTTTGACTAGTCACTAGATAACCCAATTTAGTTTAAAGAACGTTTAAAGTTTACATAGAAAACCAAGCAAACTTTGGCGCAGGTGTCTATTCTGAACTCTTCCCTTTCTACGCAGTAGCGGACACAATAGATCCGCTATTGAAGGAGAAATAGAGACCATTAGGATAGCACTACGCCAAATTATGTTGCCTGGATACGAAATTCACCAAAGCGGTGATACTTTCGGACTCACAGTCAGCAATAAACTCAATTGGAAACAGAGAGCCACCCAAAACAGCTGAGATAAAGGAATGTAGAAAACTCAATGAGCTGCTGAGAGAGAAAAACAAAACAGTGGTCCTACAATGGATTCCTGGTCACTGTGGCATTAAAGGCAATGAGCTTGCTGACACACTTGCTAAGAAGGAGACAACGATTTTACAATGCATGGACCGGCCGATGTCTTTCCACACAATGAAGGCCTTAATCAGAAGAGAATTCCAGACCTCAAGGTGCAACGAACTCAAAGCTCGAACGAAGGGGAAATAGTGGACAGTGGCACTCTCCGACATACCCGGCTGGCCATGAATCGAAGCCGTTGATGAGTTTAGACTACGTACCGGACACGAATGCTTGGCAAAACACCTTCATAGATTGGGAGTATACACTCAACCCACATGCCCCCTATGTAACCTACATGAGGAAATGGAGAAGACCCACCTGATTCGGTGTCCAGCTCTAAAGACAATGACGGAAAGCCAGAGATACTGGGAAGCAAGAAGACAGCTAATGAATTGATATTAATTAACTGCTATAAATATACCCCCCTCAAACCCTTGGGGGAAGCTGAAGTCAAAGTGTAAGGGCTAATGACTTGGGGGAAGCTGAAGTCAAGGATTAAGGGCTAATGATCCCTTGATTAAGGGCTAATATGATAGATATCATAAAGCCTGCCATTTGAAATAAATGATGAGGCAGACCCTTGGGGGAAGCTGAAGTCAAAGTGTAAGGGCTAATGATAAATATCACAAAGCCTGTCATCTGAAATAAATAAATAAATATATAGTTTAAAGAGAAATATATTGCCTAAATAAAGAGTCTGAATTGGTCTCAAAATTAGAAGGCATACGTTTTCAAGTTCCTATAAATATCAAGAATAGTGAATAATATATCGGTTAAATATAATAACGATTGAAGGCAATGACTTCAAAGTTCAATGTTTCAAAGCAATATTGAGGGAAATAATTTATTGTTTACTCACAGACAAATTTAGGCAGCTAATGAAACAAAAAAACAAATATAAGAAAACTAGAATATTCAATTATTGTATTAAAATAAGGAAAAAAACTGATTTTTTTCAAACCAATAAGTGTGGTTTAACTTAAGTGTCTAAGTTAGACAAGCGAATGTATTCTTAAAAATTACTCTTCAGGTCTAAAACTCCCATTATTTTTTGAGATAAATTTTATTCCACTTTGAATAACATGTCTATTTAGTTCCTGAATTTAATATAATCATAAAATGATTAATAATTGCGGGATTTTGTAGTCCTTGAAAGTGTTTTAAACATAAGATTTTTTGATTTGTAAGCGTTTGCATAATTTAAAATAGCATAAATGGAAAGAATTATTCGCAATGTGTTTGAGACTGTTTTTCCTAATAGAAATGTTGCAGTCCCGTTAGCAAATGCTGAAAATAATTCACTTATGCAAAAGGTTATCTAAATGAATATCTATATATAATGCAACAATATTTTGACAATTTTCAAATGCGTTTAAATGAATTTTGTAATATTTCTGATGATAAGCGCAATTAACTATTAATTAATACATTTCATAGTCAATTTCTCTGCAGTAATTCTAATCAGATTTAGTTATTTTTAGCTTACGACAACGCTTTTTGATATACAAAAATCAGATAATGCGTTAAGATCACTAGAACATCGCATCAAATTTATGAAAGAACACAAAACTGAAATAATCAAAACAATTCAAGACGTTGGAGTACTAAACCAAATAGCGTGCGATAATTGCTTTACCGAAAATCACCTAATCACACTCTGCACTAATGAGAGCACAAAAATTAGAAGAGATATAATGAGAATAAAAGTCCAAACTGATGATATAAAGGAAAAAGTATTTAAAATAGAAGTAAGCTATATTTTACGTATAAACTAAATCGCAGAATACCATTTTTGAAAAAAGTGTGAATGTACGAAACATTCAAGAGGCACTCAAAATTGAAACAGCTCAGCTAGAAGACCTTATGTGTTTCGCAGATCAAAAATGTGATGATATATATGCTATTGAATGCTACCAGCATACAGACGAATCAACGATCATGGTAACGCATTTCTAATAAAGTAATAATCAAATAGAAACTTTATATGGAAATTCAAAATCTTTCAGCAGAAAAAACTAACCTAAAATCGAAATTGGATAGACTTTTTATTGATGGAACTATTATGAAAGTAAGAGTTTATTTATTCAAATGTAATGACTTTTCTCACATAAATAATATGGATGCGTATTTTTCAATTTTCTAAGTTATCATTTTACTTTTAAATGATTGATTTTGGTTCACATAAGGTTTTTACGGATTCTTTCTTTATTAATTGAATTCGTTAGTCACAGATGGAAAGGCTCGGACAAGAGGCGAGAAATGATAATGTGGAGAGGAGAGAAGCACTGCATCTTTGGCAAAAGGCTGTTAATCGATCTGAGAAACGATCGAAAGAAATTGAGTTTCTTTTGCAGGTTTGCATATCTCTATCACTTAATGACTCGTGATTTTTCCACTAATATTATTAACGTTTACGTAGTCATTTGAAGATCTTGATCGGCAGACCGACGAAAACTTGATGAAAAAAAGGGAACATGAACATTATTTGGCTAACTCAATTAAAGATACAGCTGAAATAAGAAAAAAAGTAGAAGACTCGAAAAAGAAGTTGACAATGTTACAAGAGAAAAATGCAGCTGCTGTGGATGAAATTAAAATTACCAAATCAGAAGTTTGCTCAAACCATTTTACAATTCCAAATTTTAGTTGCAAGTTCTTAAAAACGTAGCTATCAGTAGTTGTCAAAATTTACAATCTCTTCAATTGGCTGTTAAGGAAACAAAATGTGCCATTTCTACACAATATGATAAGTAAGATTTCGTAAGATAATCACCTTCTTAGAATAAACAAGACTTTGGAAAATATGGAAAAGTTGAAAATTAAATTTAAAGGTGTTCAAGAAAGTAAACTCTCTGTTGTTCACTTGGTTGCTGAATCTGAGTTTCTACTTCGACAGGAGGAACGATATTCTAACATGTTGGTCAAACACATTGACAACCTCTCTCGAGGTCGTTTCCACATCCTAAAGGTTGGTTTCTACTTGGCGCATTATCAATAAATACATTTAAAACAAATGTGTGCATCGCACTTTACATTGAAGGAGAAGCAGACAACTCACGAGGATAAACTAAGAGCGGAAAGTTTGATTGCAGGATGTAAAAATAGCATTAAAATCCTCGAGGCGGAGATCTCCAAAACGGAGGAAAAAGTAGTGCATCAAGACCAAATCCTGTATTGCCAAGTTAGTTTAAACAATATTAATGAGAAATAAATAAACGTATGATTGCATATTGAACTATTGCACACCATATTTTTGTAGGATTTCAAAATCATTAAACTTGAAGATCGTATCTCAAAAATGGAAATGGACACATCAAACGCTGAAGAGTTGGCACGATTTCAAGAAAAAATAACTAGACTATCTGCGGAATTTGAAGACCTCGAGACATTATCTCAAAAATTTTCCAAGGAATTGAAGGATTTAAAGGTTGACACGCCATTCTATTCATTGCATTCATAGATGCATTCTTAGTGCTCTTCATCGAAGCTACTAACAATTCAGCGAAGTGGAAAATTTGCATTAAGGTCCATACTGATGGAGTCGATTTATCCACTTCATTTGGTGCAATCTTGGGGGGATGGGGGGGGGGTGGAGTAAAATAGTACGTGGGGAAGTATCCGTAAATATAATGTCAATAGAGGTTCATATGCAATATTTCAAACTGAGCATACATATAACCACTTGAGTATCCTGGACTTTCACTACCATCAGCTATGTAGTTGAGTTTGAATAGATTATCTCTGGGGTCATTTGGAAGAGGGATTCACTGAGTTAGGGCTAATAAAAGGTGTAAATTCAGTCGGAATGGAAGATGTGCATTGGTAGAGAAGTGTCTATTGCTCTAAAACAGGATGCCAAGCAACACTTGCTTTTTGGTTTCGTTAATAAAATGAAGTGACGGACAACAGCCAAAAACTATAATCTATGCATAATTAAATTAGTTGTAGTCCTTAGTGTCCGCTGCTTGCTATCTGCTTCTATCTGACCTCCTTCTCGTAGATTTTTTCACTATGGTGAAAACTAAAGTGAATTTAAATGACTATTAGAAATCGATAAAAACGGTTTTGGAAAGTGACGCTTCAAGGTGATAGAGGACAAAAAATTCAGTTAAATTAGCCACGGTCTTCTTCTTCTTCCTACCAATTAAAAAAGAGTCTTTAAAATAAATTCTACAATGGCTCTTTAAAAACTACCCTGAATTTACATAGCAGTAACATTGTAATATCACTATTTTGTGCTCTCTAAGAGAATGGCAACAAGTAATGAAGAAATTTGCGTGAATTTCAGTTGGAATCAACCAAAATGGAGAGAGAATTAACAAAATTCGCAAACAAGAAGCAGTCACTTGATGCGCAGAGAGATAACGATGAATTGCGCATTGATTTGACTGAGAAAGCTCTTATGGATCATAAGAAAGAACGCAACCTTATTCTAGTCGAAAAATCGATGTTGAGATTGCAATTGCAACGAATTGACGAGAAAATAGGATTCCTTAGTGAAAAAGTTTTTAATTTGGGGAAATATCGACTTGATATGGAGACTTGTGTGAAAGAACGAGAACTTGATATCAACATCGCCCTGGAAATGCTAACTCTGCAGACACGACATGCCGACGAAGAAAAGTCGAGGTTGAAGAAAGAAATCAGCTCCAAGAGATTGCAACTTGATAAACTTAAAAATAGGTAAATTATTCTTGCTTAAACTCCTACCAAAATTGGGCTCTGGCGTTTAAAATTTTTCTGTTTTAGGTGTGAAATTGAGTCACTAAAAATCAATAAGATGGGAGATGCCGAGTTGGAAAATCAGACGTACCATTTAATAGAGGTAATTAGACAAAGAAATTGATAAAATTTGAATATTACTGAGCATGATAAGAAGTATATTAATAGTAAAATGGGTTTTTTATTTAAAACTGATGGAAACATTTCAATACATTTCGAACATTATAACTACTTAAATACTAATTTATTGTAGTTTTTATTCATTTTTGCGTTAATTATCTAATTTCTTCCTTGTAAATTTATTAGTTACTAATCGTAATATGCTATTGTTTTGTTGAGCACATTTAACAGTTTCTGCCTAATCGTTACTTATTGATTTGTAAGTAGTTTGACAATGCACCTGAAAATGGGCTTTACGATTTAAAAGGTATTGCAAGAAATTGAAAATTTACGCAGTTATGGGAACAAACTCAATGCTGAAATTGAACAATCCAAATGTGAGCTTGAAGCTCTTCAAAATACACTTTTATTGGTGAAGGAGGGTAATCGCCTTTATGAGCATAATTACAAAGAGGCCGATCAGGAATTAGTTGAAGAAAGAAACGAGATTGAACAGGTCAGCAAGAAATGGAAGAAGGAACTTCAGGAAAAGAAGAGGTACTGCCTTTCACTTGCGGCTGATATTCAGGTAACTTTAGCCTGTATCCTCTAAGTAACCACATACTAATATCTATCTATCAATTAAAAAATTCAATGAATAACAGTTTCACATCTGCTCACACATTTTTTTCTTATCTTTTTTTCAGAAAAAGCAGCTTGCCTGTGAAAGCGCCAACGAAGATCTACTGCAGGCTACAATGCTGAAAATGGAATTAGAAGGAAACAAAAGAAAAGAGGAGAAAAATGCAAGTCTTTTGAAAGAACGTATAATGCGAGCAAACAAGAGTTTGAAGAAGGCGAAATCTGCTGCCATCAAACAGTTCCCAAATATGGTTGGTGTAGATGGTGGAGATATTGGCGAAGATATTGAGGTTTGTTGCCGTAAAAATGCACACTTTGGCTGTTTAAGTTGATGTGAGCAATTGTTTATACCCTTAGTTACAATTGATGAAAGATCTGGTTGAGAAGGTCGCAACGCTTCTGATGAGTCAAGTTAAGGCAACTCGAGTTGATCAGGAGACCAAGGTGATTAAAGCGAGGGCATATCTCAGGGCAGCTGATATTACTATCAGCCCGGGATCTTCTGCTGGAAATTCTAGAGCAGCAGTCAGTGAAACATCTTCTGGAGGAACATCAGTCTGTAGTGGCACTGCATTAGCTTTTCATGAATCTTCTTCATTTTCCACGTAGGTAGTTTGGAAGTAAAGATGTCAATACTGTTGACTTAAAATGAACTTATAACTAAATGGGCAGAAAATTGATTGAATTACTCTGAAAAAACATTTTACTCAATTTTTCACTACCCTTTTACAGCATATTTTACCCCAAAATGTAAAATTTTCAAGAAATAAGAGTTGACCACATGATCTATCGGCATATAGTAATTCCTAACCAGCTGGTAAAAGTGTTTTCCTTTGTATTTAAGCACTTTGACGTATTATAAAATGACATTGATTTTGGTTAGCATAAGTTATTCTACGTTCCAGTAACTGCTAAAATATGTTTAAAATAACCCGAAAATTGTATGAACATCAAGCCAATAGATGTGTTGGTCAAAAAGCATGCCATCAAACCATTAATAAAAATACAGATCGACGTAAAATATTAGTTGGACCTATCGCTAAACTGCATGGTCATTCCAATTTTATTTTCACTAACTAGCGTAAAAACATTGATTGTAGTTATTGATTTTTTGCTGTATGGACACCATTTTCCCAGCCACGTTGATAAATGTGCGCGGTTTGGATGAATGTCAAAATAGAGGGGGACACGCTTAACATAGCTCACTCAAGCTACTAGTTTTGCAGGTGCCGATAATGATATTTTGGGGTGTTAAATGCTCAATAGATATTGGCAGTGTGATGATAGTTAAATGTTGAATAATCAATATGACATTACTTGGAATTGGGAGGTAATGAAATTCGATATATTTTAAATAAAATGTCGCAGTACTCAATCATTGGCTTGGCAGTAGTAAGGTCATCTCCCTTTAGACTTTTAAGCCTGAGGTATTCGGCACTAATTTATTCAGTTGAGGATTTGTATTAAATGTTGAATCTGAAGAGTCAGCACTCACTTCCATATTTGGTCATTTAAAACCACCTGCAGTACAATTTAGAGGAACATTTAACAACCGAGGTAGTACAAGGTCCAAAGATATTTACAATACATGTTCCAGTTTTTGCTAGTATTTTTGATGCAAACACAAAGATAAATTTCATTGGTTGTAATTGCATAAAAGTTCATATCGATGACTCTCTATTTTGCACTTACAAAGACCCTTGATCAATAACATTAGCAGCAAGTTTAAAATTCGTCTTAGAATGCAAAATTTAATTGATTAAAGCACGTAAAAATGAAAATTTACAATCCTTTTTTTGAATTCCAAAACTCATTCGAATTTTTCGTCTTATAGATCACCAGGTCCACAGAGGGTGATGAATCTCTCAGAACTTGTTACTTTGCCAGGTGAATCGAATAGTGACAGAGCCTCCAATTTAAGCAGTACGTTTAAATATTTTCAATATTTAAAGAAAAATTTGTCCAATGGGGTAGCCTGTGTCCTCGCAAGAGTGCTATTGAAGTGGTATGGTGATTAGTTTGTGCCAAAGTAGATTGTCACTAAAAATTATTCATATCTACTTAGAAGTAGAGTAAGGTGGTGTCATGGATACTAAATCACATGATTATGAAGCATTTCCCGTTTCTATATTTTAGATGGATCTTCAAAGAATTCGAGATGGTAAATCCACCCATTGATTGCTCACCTTGAGTTTGCGTACTCTCCTTAAGTAATGCTTATCAGATAATTTTACTTAAATAATGTTATTCTTACGACACTGTCTTGGAATAAAAAATACTGAATTTCGTTATTATTTTTCACATATATCTAATTTGAAAAGTTACTTTGATTGATGAATTTCGATTTAGACAGCTTTACATTTAGGCGCCCGAAACAAAGGCCAATTTGATTCCAAGAATAACTAACCTGGCTTGAATCAAACTTAAGATAATAGCAGAAAGCTCATACACAAGTGCACTTTAAAATGAAAAAATGCGGATGAAAACCTATAAGAGATCACTTTCTCAAAATTAAAATCAAGTGGTGACCTGCATAAACTCTGAAGCATGAATGAAGAAAACAAAGAAGAATTGAGGTCTTATTAAAAATCGATCGCTACTTACATTGATACGTCAGTAGAATGTCCAAAATCCGGTAAAATCTAGCCAAATCTATTTTCTAGTTAGCACATTTCTTATCTCCCCAAATGGACACGCATTTCTCATTAGAACCGATCGATCAAAGGACAAACGACTTCTTATACCTTATCATGTGAGGTGATTTGTGATATAAACAGAAGAAATTATTTACTAGGCGTGAGCGTGTTTCATTTCCCACGCAACCCTGAATTGGAGTCAAGTAAGTTCTTAAAACCTTCGATTATTCCTATTTTTTGGCGCAGTCACTACGACCGAGGTGCGTAAAATATATGATTATAAAATGCCATACAAATGGAAATATAATTGTTGAAAAACGGGTGATCGTGCAATCTCCCACTTAAGTCAAGTTAAAAGGCTCTTTTGGTTATCCACAATTTCGGAGATTTTAAATTGATCACATTCTTGCAGCCACTTTTTAATTGTAGCTCTGATTAAAACTATTGCAGTAAAAATTTGCAATTGGCTTGTTGAGCGTAAAATCCACCACCCCAATCAATTTCAAGTGAATTTTCCCAAGGAAACGATGTGATCATTAGGATATGAAGTTCTACCCATTCGAAGTTGAAACATTTGAAAGGATGCTCTCACCGACGCAGGTTCCAGCTAAATTCAATTGTCCAAACTGACCCTTGATGGAGATACTTGATTACTTACCATTTGAACATCGGATAATTTGGTTTCACACGCAAAACGTCATTTTCTGATCTTCAAATGTTCACCAAGATTCACACAAGATATTTACTGTGCAGACACTACGTAAACAACATCAACACGATAAAGTTATAAAAGAAGACAGTTACCTCGGACGAATTGTGCCATATACGAGAGGACTCTTAAGTTCAAATTTTAAATTAAACTATTAAGCCTAATTTAAAACAAAAGAGAGATAACAAAAGCATATATTCAATATACGAATATACAATAGGGTCACTCTAGATCGCTTTTCTTGCACTTACCAATGCAACTATACTAAGATTAAGTAATTAAGGATTAATTCAGTACAGCTATGACTCGATTACTTATTCATAAGTCAACCACAAGGAAAGAAGAGTTTGACGTGTGTGTTTGTGTGGAAAATAATCTTTATGCATGTAAAAACAGAGGCAATAGGCAAATGAACGATTAAATACATTGCAGAAGGAGGGAGGGGGCGTAAAAAGGGAGAGAGAAAGGGAGGGAGGGAGGGAGAGAGATGCCTTGATCAGTAGGTGTCTCAATCCAATGAGAAGGGCGATCGAGAAGGCTTTTGCGAAGAAGAGGAGTGGTCTCGATTGGACGGAGACCAGAAATCTATCGAGTGATTATTTCTCTTCAGGAGGGAATTGAAAATTGAGTTCTTAAAGAGAGAAAGAGAGTAAAATGAATGGGGACAGGGTTGGCTAATGAATTATTAGGGAAGTGAAAACGTTGAATTTCGGAAAAAAAAGCAAGTTCATGCGCTCTTACTATAATTGGTATAAATTGTGAAAACTTAAGTAGAATTCTTCCCTCATCCACTACTGCGTGGCTAATGTCTACCAAGCTTCCTTGAAAATAGAACTATTCACAAAGTGTTCCATCAATTTTCTATTCGATAAGATGGAATAACATGAAGAATGACAGCCGAAGAGTACTACCAAATTATCATCGTCTTATATTTGCAGCAACCAAACTACGATCATCATCCAACATAGAAATGAAAACTCTCCCATACCATATCCACAAGAGTGAGGTAGTTTTGATTTATGACAAGTATAGAATTATATCACACAAAGGTAACTGACATTAAAATCCAATAACACGCTACAACAAACAATAGCCAACAATTAACATGACAGGAGTGGTTAACTGCAAAACCCTATGGGTTAATGGATTTTCCACTTGGTTAAAAGTAATTTCATACTGATCTGAAGGTCGGATAAAGAGTGCATAAATCGATAAGAGGTACCACCCACTTTCCCCACAAATTTACCTCTCAAGAGAACAAATGATAGACCTTACTGAAACAAGAATGAGAATCACCATTGAAGGGGTTTAACACTGAGTGGAATTTGGACCACTTATCGTTCAAGTGTATTCGCACTTGCCATGAATATAGGACTCAAGAGACAACTAAGAAATTCCATCCGGTTAAAGCAGCCAGTAACATTTGACTACTTTGTAACTAGACATGTTCATCTGATTCAATGATACTGGAAATTTAGCTGTTGGAAGTCAAGATCCAACTAAGCATAGTCAGATAAACCTACTGAAATGGAAGAAATTTTGGAGGCACTACTGGTGGAGGTAATGGTTGGAGAAGCGGTATTGCTACCGCCTCGTAAAGCATGGAGATCATCAGTGAGATTAGCGAGATGTTGGGCCATTTCGGTGAGTTGCTGAGCCGCGTGTTGTTTGGTCATTTCCAGCTCTTCTTCAAGACCGTCGGCTCGTGCTACAGCTGCTGACGTCTCTCGTCGCTGGTGCTCTAACTCCTTACGCGTGCATCGCAGATGTTCGTTGAGACTTCGAATCTAAAGGGATGAAAATATAATAGGTGAGAAATAAAAGTGCTAATTTCAATTACCACCATTACGTTAAAATTAGTGTCTAGAAGGGGTGGAGAAATTAAGAATTCGAGAAGTGGAGCTTTCACTAAAGGTAAGCGAATTAATTAATGAATACATTTCCAGACCTACATGCCCACCCAGTGAACGGATTGAAGGCAAATTTGGAATAAAGCGGAAGGGTAGAATGGTATATAAGTAACGATCAATGAATAAAAGTTAGCAAGACAAGATAAGGAAAAATCTGAGTTACAAATTTTAGAAGCATAGTAGTGTAACCTCCTTCAACATCTCTTAGATTGGCAAATTAAATCACAAAGGAAATTAAAAAGGTTGAAGACTCAAAATAAAATAACCTCCCATATTTAGAATCGGTCTATTGGGTGGTCATTAAAAATACAGTACAATGGAAGAAAACGGGCAAAAACAGGCAGACAGTACATGAGCACAAGCAGAACTCATTAATTGACCAATATTTGTTGGAAAATGAATCAGGCGTCATAGCAATATGTCTGCGTAAACAGCCATTCATACTGCATTCCTGAACACACAGTGTAGTTAAATGAAATTAGCGACCGCATTCAGGAGGATTATTTTGTACTTAATCTCACCCAATCCATCTTAAAAAAATCTAGGTTCACTGAGCTTGAAAAGTAGAACTAAGTTTACACATTGGGAACATGCTTCCAGATGATCGAATATAGTATCAAGTATGGGGTTCGCATTTCGAAACTCTGACGATTTAAGTACCTTCCCATTGATACTGACTTTAATCACTTCTGACAGCTAATTCCAACTGTCAACGCATATCACAAAACACGGATCATCTTAGGTCAATTGAAACAGAACTCAGAGCCGTCTCCCAATGACGCGTCGAGGTCCGACTAATGTAGAATTAGGTTAGATGTTAAAGATATGTACATATTTCAGCAAATGTTGTGTAATTATGTACTTGAAATTATTGTGCGAGAATTATGTTATGAAAAAATATTACCTACCCTTCACTAGAAACTTACAAGAAAAAAAATTAATTGACAAAAAGGAATTTAAAAACAAGGTGTAAAACAAACACATGAATGAATTTTGTCATCTGGACGGTGTTAGCGTTTCCTAAAACTGGCCTCGTGCATTCAATCTTGGCAATTAATAGCCAATTCATCTCTTACAGCCTATTAAACCGACGAGGAAGGGAGTTTTTTCGTGAAGTTTAAAACGATCTTCCTTCCTAGTAACAACTAGTGGATGAGTTAGATTATATTTAAGGGTAGGGGTGTGGGATAAGCTTACCTCCACGTGGTGCACCCTGGGCAACGTATACTTACACAACAAAAAGTCTATTACCTGGCAGTTGACTTCTGACTTCTAACTACCATAACCTTAATGTATGTCGAATTCAACCGCTTCAACAATACTAACCTCACCTTTTCTCTGCCTTTGTGTCTGTCTGTCTCTTT